TAACCCAAACTAACCCTTACCCTAACTTTAATTAAAAACAAAAAACACGTGACTGGACACGGCTTTAGACGTCCCCCGAAATTGTCGATGATCATCACAATATTTATCACGTGTCCCACTAATTTTCATATCGTTATTCATACTAAGTATTTTTCGAATTCGCTTTGAAATCAAAAATAAGTTAATGTATTTACATTTGTTTTTTGATCTTTTCGATAACGGAGTTTCAACCTTTTACTTTGTTATACTGATAACGGTAGGTGTACAGTATTACGTAAGGCAACTTTCTATTCTAATCATAATCGAGATGCAATTATTTAAATATATATAGTTTAATAAATTACTATTTTAAGTATTATGTTTAGTAATTGTCAGCAAAACACACTCGTATTCCCACCCTAACCCTTGAATAACTTTTTTTTATTCTCGTGTACAACATTGGGATGCTCAAGGTACTTCCTAATTAGCTGGACATACCCGAGTTTTGAAATTAATCAAGAATTGCGCATGGTCGATAAACAGAGATCTATTGCCAATAAGTACTTACGTATAAGTTATATAAGTCTGCTGATTGATCATTAGCGACAACAAATAAACATTTAAACATTTAATAAATGATTCCTTTTTTTTTCTTCTTAATTTTGATAACCAATATTGGTTATCAATTGAGGTGGATTTATTGGGTAACAAGATAGATTTATTAGGCAAAGGTTAATCACCTGGTGTATGATATCTGATTAATTTCGTAATATTCGTAATACCACATATTTTGTGTTATCTTGAATCTTTGATAATCAAATCTTATCAGAAAATCTTGTGTAACTTAATGACTGCGTTAGAGTTTTATTCCGTAATCACCATACGTGAATACGTGCATACGTGGGCCATACGTGTCCATTATATACACATGTGGTTTTTGGAGACTTATTCGTATTAACGCTATCGCTATGGTATCATAATTTAATTTTGGTAATGCTCTCGCAACGTTAACGTTAGAGGATCCGTCGTTATACTTAAATCCAAAATCAAATTAAACTTAAAACAATCTATTCATTGTTGTCTATAAAATTTTAAATAAGTGCGATGAAGTCATTTGTTTTTTTTTTTTTTTTTTTTGTGGAGATAACGATAACGAACAATTATTTCATTTAGTATTTATTGTTACGTCATTCGATTTTTTATACGTATCACTGTAAACACTGTAAAGTAGTAATCGGATATAAATTCAAATTCTGTGTTGTGGACATGGATGTACATTCACATTTCCAAGACCATTTCTTGTATGATATATCATTTCTTCCATTCTTCCATTATTGTATTTTACTATTCTCGAATAAAAAAAACTCTATTAAGTTTGTATCTAATCTTTGTTCTTCATTTATTCAAATAACTGTTAAACTTTGAAAAGGAAGCTTGCTTCTAAAACGTTGATTATTCTGTTCTTTTTTTCTAGAAAATGTGTGGTATTTTCGCAGTTTTTAATTATCAGGGTGACATCCACAACTTTCGTCGACGGGCCTTATTACTTTCTAAAAGGTTTGAATTTTTATCAAATCGGTTGATCTAATATTATTAATACATCCATTAAACTTTCACCTTCTAAATTAGAATAAGACATAGGGGCCCTAATTGGAGTGGGTGTGAAATTTCGGGTAACAATATCATTTGTCACGAACGACTAGCTATAGTTGGTGTTGGTATGTAATGAAGTTTTTAATTAAATAAATACAAAACTTTTATTTTAATTTTCTTTAATTTTGAATTTTTTTCACCTCTTTTTTAGACAGTGGTGCTCAGCCACTCACTAATGATGACAAATCGATAATTCTTTCTGTCAATGGTGAAATTTATAATCACAAAACTTTAAGAAAACAACTTAAAGATGATGTACAATTCAAGACTCGATCAGATTGTGAAATTATCCTTCACCTGGTAATAGTCAAATTTTGAATACTTTTTTTTTTCATCGATCTAATGTGGCGTCTAATTTGATATCTAATTTGACATAATTTGACATCTAATTTGACATCTAATTTAACTTATTTAACTAGTATTCGGAAATAGGAAATGATGTTGTTAAACGACTTGATGGAATGTATTCCTTTGTCCTTTTTGATTCAAATCGAAATCGGTTTATTGCAGCACGTGATCCTATCGGCATCACTACCCTTTACCAAGGCTGGTCGTCAAGGTCTCCCGGCACTGTCTATTTCGCTTCTGAGTTAAAAGCTCTTCAAGATGATTGTGATAAAATCATCTCATTTCCTCCGGGCCATATATATAACTCGGAAATTGGTGGGACGACGAGATACTACCAACCTATATGGTGGAATAGTGATTTCATACCAACTACTTCAATCGATTACACCTTATTAAGGAAAACTTTGGAGAGAGCTGTTGTAAAGAGATTAATGAGTGATGTTCCATTTGGTGTCTTATTGAGTGGTGGCTTAGATTCCAGTTTAATCGCTGCGATTGCAACAAGAGAAGCTGCTAAATTAGCTGCTTCTCAAGACGGTCTCGAAGATGATGAGCTCGATGAACGTAAGCGTTGTTAAAATTTAATTACTTTATCGGTTATTAATCTGTTATTAATCTGTTATTAATCTGTTATTAATTTGTTATTAATTATTAATACTTTTATTTTTAATGTCTAAAATTTGCTTTTTTTTATAACAGGCGTTGTAACTACATGGACCAAAATTCATTCGTTTTCTATTGGCCTTCAGGGTTCTCCAGATTTAATTGCTGCACGTTCGGTTGCTGAATTTCTTGGCACTGATCATCATGAATATACCTTCACTATTCAAGAAGGTCTTGATGCAATTCATGACGTCATATATCATTTAGAAACTTATGATGTAACAACTATTAGAGCTAGTACTCCAATGTATTTATTGTCGAGAAAAATTAGTGGAATGGGTGTTAAAATGGTCTTAAGTGGTGAAGGAAGCGACGAAATGCTCGGAGGTATTGGTTTTATTATATTATACTATATAATAATATATAAATATCTTCAAAATGAAAATAATAAATGACAATATATTTCTAATTCTACTTGTTATATCGTATATAGGTTATCTATATTTCCATAGTGCTCCATCTGCTGTTGATTTTCACAAGGAAACTGTTGATCGTGTAAAGAACTTGCACACTTCTGATTGTTTACGTGCCAATAAATCGACAATGGCTTGGGGTCTTGAGGCTCGAGTACCATTCTTGGATAAAGATTTCCTTGATGTTGTTATGACTATTGATTCTGAAGAAAAGATGCCTAAAGATGGAAAAATGGAAAAAGTATGTTTATGATTTTTATAAATATTAATACATTTATCTTGCGCAAATGTCTAAAATTTTTTAATATATTTATATGTCTAAATTTTTTTTGTTTACTTTTGTTTAACATTATATTATAGTACATCCTTCGTAAAGCATTTGATGTTTCAACAACCGGTGATTCTCATCCTTATCTACCCGATTCGATTCTCTGGCGTCAGAAGGAACAATTTTCTGATGGTGTGGGATACAGCTGGATTGATACTCTTCGTGACATTAGTGAAAAATCCGTTACAGATGACCAATTAGCAAATGCTGCTAAACGTTGGTCTAAAGATCCTCCACAAACTAAAGAAGCCTATTGGTATAGAGAACAATTTGAAAGTTTATTCCCAGGTGAATATTGTACCGAAAGTGTAGTAAGATGGATTCCAAGAAGAGATTGGGGTATGTTATTATTTATTTTTTATTTTTTATTTTTTGTTGATTTATCATTATTACTATTATTTTTTTTAAAATAATGCATGTATACATGTTGATTTATTATTGTCTTTGTTTTTCGTTGAAATTTAAATAGGATGTCCTGAAGATCCATCTGGTCGTGCCCAGAGTGCTCATAATTCTTCTTATAATCAAAATGATTTGGTTCGACTCCAACCTCGTGAAAATATTTCCGAGGGTCAACTATAGGTTTTACTTAGTGTTATATTTTCAATTTAGGCCACACAAATTTCGTATTTTGATTTTCATAATTTAAACAGACCAAGCTGACCTTTTTTTTTTTGTATCTTTTGTCGCGAAACAACGCGTAGGAGTTATATTTATTTTGGTCTTTTGTTTAATAGTGTATTTTTAATCATTTCTCTTGTTTGTTGCATTCTATATATTCAGATGCATGTATATTTTTCATGGTCAAAATTATTTGCATAACAAATAAATTATAGAATCATTTCTATATCTCTATATGTGTGTATAATTCTTATGAATCGAATTTATGAATCGAATTTATAAATTTATGAAATGAATTTATGAATTTATGAAATGAATTTATGAATAGAATTTATGAATCGAATTTATGAATCGAATTATGAATCGAATTTATGAAATGAATTGGGAACTTGCCGATAGAAAAAGGGGAAAAGTTTTTAATAGCTTTTTTTTAAATTTTAAATTAAAATATCTCAATAACTACTAAATTAAATTTATTAAAATTTTTTCTTCTTAATTTTATAATTTTATAGAAATTTAATTCAATAGTTGTTGAGATATTTTACTGCGCTTTTCAAATTGCTGTATTTACTTCATACACCACACTGGGAATCAGAAATCTAGAAAAAATGCCAATACGTGATTGGCTAAAAATTATTTTCAACCAATCACAGATTTG